ATGAGGCTAATGCACAGGCTACGACTTATGTGTGATGTGTATGAGCACATGAGCATCTGTGATGGCGCGGTGACACCCGTTATCATCAAAAGTACCGATAAAAGTTTCGTTGGATTACAGTGGTAAATGTTGGATGTGAATTTTTTGAAGAACGATGAAGAAGTTATTATCTTGAATCATTTTAGAACTATTGGAAATGAACTCGGCAGAAATCACGCAAGCTGATGAGGCCCTTCGAGAAAGATTAAGAAAGCGGGCCGCAGATCCAATTCGTTTACAGTATCTCGAAAAAATGGTCGATTTGACGCGATTTCTGCAGCAACTTGAACGACTTCTTGCTATGCCAATTAAGTAAGCACGTGAAATGTTCCGATAATTTATTTATTTATTTAATCAGCAAATCCAATTCATTACGAGTTTGTGCCTCTCTGTTATCACCAATATCACATTCTTCCTTCCTTGACATCCTTTCCACACACTTAACAGTAACAACGTTGGGAATCATCTGTCTTCACGAAATTCTAACTTCGATTATCGATTTGGAGAACGCAGAGGTTTCGGGCTACTCTCCCATTTTGTGCAATGATTTCTAGTGAGAGGGACTCAAAAAAAGCCCGAAAACATGTTCTGCTTGATCGGTTGAAAATGCGTCCAACGATCGCTCTGAGTAGCTATTTCAGTATCAGTAATAGACAATTAATGTAATCGAGTAGATCCGTAGCAATCGGCACATTGAACGTTTCACAACCAAGCAATAATAGATGCTCGTTGCCATAAATAATTTGCATAATTAAGCACAGCCGATTACCAATCCATTGAACAATCGTAGCACCAGCAGACATTTTGCCGATCGTCCAGTGCGATCGGCAAACCAACCGCTCCACGTCTGAATAACTACTGCGAATCGTTCTGTTAATTATAAAATCTTAGTACAGAGTTATAAAATCCTGTCTTCAGTTAGTGCAGAGTTAATTCGTTGAAAATTGAATGTTCTTCAAGTGGCCTCCGCAAAATTGTTCTTCTTATCGTGTCATAAATTCATTCTATATGGTAAGTTTTTTGGATTAATGTATTTTTTCAGAATACCAGGTACGTCTGTTTTACCTTACCCAGGTTCATCAAATAAAATGCGTCACAGCATATTCTCCGTAAAGACGATATGGACATGTGATGATGAAAGACAAGCTGAAACAAGTCGGCTCTACAACATGCAAACATTACGGAAAAGGAAATGGTTAAGGGATGTTCTCATAGAGGAGTCAGATTCTGATTCAGATGGCGAGATGCCTTTCACACAACTCGATTTGCACGCTCTTCTCAAGGTTTATTTCTTCCTGGTTGTTGCTAAATAAGGATTAGTTTGATGTTCTTTGTTCGGTGTACTGCGCTTTTGATTACCTGCAACTGCAGCTTTGCATTCGCTTCCAGATTTATATTATTGTTTTTTATTTTAACAATATGTATTTCCGTGTTACTTTGATTGAACTTCATTCTGGCTTCTTTATGAGGTAGTCAACTGTAAGAATCAAAATTTAACATTTCGTTCACGTAACAACAACATATACAAGTTTATGTGCTACGGATTTACCTCTAAACGCATGTGAGAGCAACGTTGACAAACATCTCAGTATTCATAAATTTAGCATTCATTAGGTAGGCTTCAACTGTATGGTGTAACCAGTGCTTATTTATTCACAAAATGTTTAATTAAATTACTCTTTCTATTAGAAACACCACCTTGTTTGTATTTAAGGTACATCGAAGACGTCGCAAGCTACAGAAGAATTACCATAGTGATATTCTCAACTCACAGTACACTTATTATGGCGCTGGTCTCCTTAGTAGTTATGATCCTTTTCCTGAGCATCAAGCATTTGTTCAACATCAATATGGATATTGAAATCCAGCTTTCTTTGTATATGTTATATTATAATTTATTGAATTTCATTCCTTCGCTGCATCACTTTCTTAAGTGGGGATCTTAATTTATAGCATATTTTACGAGTATCTTATGATGCTGTCGTATTTTATGTTTATTTTCACTGTTTTACCTTTTCTTCAATAGAAAAACTCGACTATAAAATCGGCAAAGCTGTACAGCCAAAAGATGCTTATTGATGATCGGCATTATTGTTTATAATTATAACATTCACTGTATATACATAAATGAGTAGTACTGTATTGCTTTTATATGAACGCAAATAAAGAATACTTGCATTTTGTTTGATCACGTTCATTCCACTATAAATATGAAAAACTCAACGCCCTTGCGGAGCAATTTTCTGGATGCTCCGAACATTGGTGACAATTCTTTAGAACGTATATCATTGCTGCTATAAAACAGGCAATAATTGGAATCTTTATATAATATATAAGTTGGAGTTGGGAACTGACAGGTATTTTTGGTGATCACTGATGAGCCGACTTTTGAGCGTCGGTCGTTGGTCACTGAAAATCGGTTTTCCGTCAGTGTGCAATGACCGAACTCCACAAAAAGGTAAGTAGGCATAGGACAATATTTCTAAAAGGGAGTAAATTACCTCTGGGGGGTAATCGGGGGTATCATAGGGGTAACTGAGGAGCTCGGCAAACTAACATTCAATACAGTTGTTATGTTATGGTGGAATGCCGCTGTGATGGTGCTTTTTTACTTGAGTATCCAAACGCGCTTGGCTCATGACAACATTCTTCTTCATTCTAGTATTTTTAGCTCGACTAGGTGTGAAATAAGATCAGTGTGCATTCGTAATTTCTATGATATATTTGCTGACATCGTCTCTCATAAGCAATACGAATTGATTGAGTTCATTGGTGTGGCATAAAAAAACCATTGGTTTGGTGCGAAAAAAGCGAGTTTTTCTGAATTCATCCACTATTATTATTCAGTTGCACTGAAAGGGTTTGGTAACTTTCTCAAGTGCTTATATAATGGGATTTCTGGTTCGTACTGAAATATCTGTGAATGAAACAACTTCATAGTTATCTGGTTTGTACCAAATGTGTATTAAGCTATGATGGATGTGTTGCGGGATTCTAGATTGAAAATTATTGTTTCCATATTTATGAATGAGATACTTAGGCATGTTATTGTTCTCAACCGCCTTTCAAGGTTACATTCTTGGATCCTAAAAAACAATGGTGAATCCAGAAAAGTGGAGGTACGAGGAATATTCTTTCTGAGAATGGTAAATAAAGTTCTAAAACATTTTTCCATTGCAGAAAATTAATTTCTTTCACGTCACCGAGAAATTTCTGGACCGGTAATCGATTTGCTTTTGACGTTATGTGTGGAAAAGCTAAATTATTATAGGGGTAATGGTGGTATGCCACATCATCGAAAGGGAGACTGGAGCATCCAAGCGTGAGAAGCACTAGCCTAGGAGATGAACACTTCTTCACAAAATTTGAGTATTTGAATTGATTAAATTGACTGTTCCGTTCGGATTGAGTGGAAAACAAAATGAGTAAACGACCTGTTAAAGCTGGCTGTTCCAGAGAGTGTTATACTAAGCGTAGCGGGTAATGTTCGACAGATGTCATTATAGAGGATACATAATATCAAAAAAAATTAATTCTACTATCATTCTTGACGTGTAAATTATTCATATAGAGAAGAAGATATCAAAACGCCGAAGAATAGGTGTGAGCGATATTTTTCAACAAGATTTCAGTTGCATAAGCGTGTATTGGAACTGGATATGTGCTCGGCACCAGATGAAGGAGGTTCCTTTTAAGCGATAAAAGACGTTTCTGAACAAGATTTGAAATTTTAAAAAATCCTAACGCACTAACCAGTCATCAGTCCACCTTAATTTCGACATCAATTCCTTTCGGTATCATCTTCTGCGCTGTGATATTTCGTTGACCGCCTCCAATAGCTTTTCAAAGCACATATCTCAAATGAATTTATAAATGAATCTGATTGTTTCTTTTGAATATCTAAGAATGCGGATTAGATTCTTGAATATATTTGTGTGGTTCGTTCAGGGTGGACAACTTGTTACTGCTAAATTTTAACGCTTCATTTTATGAAACATTCATTCCAATGATTGCAGATTGATAAAAGTTCAGTGATTTGTGCAGTTATTTTGTTGAAAGAATGTTGAAGATTATTTGAATTTGCTATTACTGCTAACAACTTTGCTTTCTTCAACAAAGAAATTATTGTGCTATTGCCGTAACGTTTTTTCATTCGCAGTTACGAAATGAGTGCTAATGATCAATCATTCCTTTCAGCAATTCAAGCAGCCATAATTTGATCGGTCAACTGACGGATCTATCCACCGCACTGCAATGAGATTAATATTCTTTTATATGATACATTTTGCAAACGTTAGTGCGACTTTCCTGTGAAATATTAGCATTTAATTGAAAGTTATAAATCATTAGTTACTCACAGCTTTGTTTTATTTATCGCTTGTTTATTATGATAAAGTCTGATGAAAATGGAAATCTCTATTTCTGCTCAACTAGTGCTAAAATAGATGACTGTATAGCAATATGACATTCTGAGGACTTGTCGTCGTAAACGAGCGTTTCATTTCAATTAGGCGATCGAACGTATCGAATAAGTGATAAGAATGCATATTCAAAATTCCAGTTCTGACACGTTCGAAAGAATTGTGATTTAGTGAGATAGATTTTAAAACATTTCAATGTTATATACTTCGTGTCGCAAATTATAAGCATGTATTCACTGCAGTAGAATAAATGCTCTTTTGCCTTTGAAAACAAATCAATTAATTACATCAATCTTGGATGATCATTTTTATGATGCATTACAGCAATGTTGCGGATCTCTTAAATTAATTGTTCCAAACTTACGAAATTCTTCAAGAGATTCAGTTCCTCTTCATCATGTTTAGTTTTGTCGGCGTGCTAGATTTTGCAAAATAAAATTGTGCATTGTTGAAACCATCATCATCTAAACTTGCTTATTTTATAGACTGTTCAGTTGAATGACCAAACAGATATTGATGGGCACAAGATTTATGGAGAGTTTGACGATAATTAAGCAAGATTATGAGTAGTTATCAAGAAATGTAATTTTTTTGGTTTCTGGGATGGGATGATAAGGCGAATTTTTTTTGTTACAGTGTCAAGACTTGCTTTCGTTGGTGAATCCAATTATTGGAAGCACAATATTGGCAGTAAACAATGGTGAACAAATGGTGACTGCTTTGAACGATGATAGTAAAAGGAATGCGGGTTTGTCAACGGCTCAGGTACATTAACGTCATTAGCTCGATCGCACTCAACTATAATTGCGAAATTCATTTCCTTCCATTCCATTGTTCCTATTATTTCTACATTAATGATGCTAATTTGTTGTAAAAAAGTTATCAATCACAATTATTTTCATGTTGTTATTAATTTATTACAACCGCCGTTATCATTTTAAAATACCGGTGTTGGCATAGTTAATGGCTAATGGTCTCCTTTTCGAAACTCTTAGTTTTGTTCTTAATATAGTGCTCTCTTATTACTGAAATTATAATCAATGAACTTGGAAATGGCATGAGAAAGAAGCGTTTCCATCAGAAACATGTATCGATTTAAGTCATTGCTATCACAATTCATTCCGTTTCGAGGAAGCCAAGTACCCAACAAGCCTACTAATGTACATGATCACCTTAAACCTACTCATGGATTTCGAAGTGAACCAGTTATGCCTGGAACACCTCCGCAATTCAACACTTTCATGCCAAACAGTTAATCTTTATTGCAATTCAATAAATGAGTATTTTGCTGTGATTTTAAGTGATGATGATCTATGCATTTTGAGAAATAACGTTCAGAATATGAGCATTACGGATTAATTAATTCAAAGCTTATCTTGCAGGCTATATTTCAGCTTATCAATCCTATGAACCTGCAACTGCCAACAAGAGGTGGTTATTCATTGCTCAGTTTTTGAATAACAACCAAAGGGAATTTTTTCAGCAATAAGAAAATTTTCTCAGAAAAAAATCCAAAGGGAATGAAATGATTGAGAACAGTACGGATCAGCTAAACATCCTTCCTAAACCACAATGTTATTGAAGGTCTCTTGTACACGAAATTGCCAATTCAGTACCTTATCTCGTGGGATCTCCAGTGCAAGGAATTGAAGCGGGAACTCAATTCAGTAAAGGAGTTTTTCAGGTTGGTTAACAGCCATATCTTGACTCATAATATTTACATTTTTTACGAATGACATAACGAAGTATTTCATTCGAACGGAGAAACAGTGCAGATGTGTGTAGTTTGCTGACCCACAGGTTGCGCTGGGCAGTTCGTAGATCAAGCTTGTTATTTTTTCGAGTTGCTGCAATCAAACACCACCTACCGCACAAATTGTTCGCAGTTCTGACGGGGAGTGATCACTGACTGCAGGTTGAACAGGCCTAGCTGATTGTGATTAAAAGAAATAAGTGAGCGACGGTGCATAATTCTTTTCATGTGAAGTGAAGTAATCTCGTTTGTAGATGCTTGCCGAAATAACGCAATATTCTGACATACATCAGAGACGCGACCAGGATTATGGTTCTGTACAGAAATTGTTGAGAGCATTTTTTAGTTCACTTGCCGATGGAAATAGCATTATGCCTCCGGTTAGATTTTTGAATAATCTTTCAAGTGAGGTTCACAGAAACAGATATCCTTGAGGGAAAGTATTTCTTCAAAACCACTCAACTGCATCAGTTCATATTTTCGAATTTATCATGTAAATAGTTTTTAAAGCTTTCATTGATTATGCTTCATGCATTTCCTATGAAGCCAGTTGCTATAAACTATGAAAATGTAATGTATACCATTTAACTTCATAACATCTTCTATTGTACAATTCCAGCCTAGTCTACAGCCAATGTACGATGGTACAGAAATAGGTAGAAATCGCCCAATGGTTAATGATTTATTCGAAAGTGATATTGTGCTGACCGTTGATCAACTGAAAGGGTTCGCTAGAATATTACAATTTTTTTCTTCACTCAGTTACTCGTTCTTTGGGGATAGCATGAAAGTGTTGGAAATCCTTCACTGTCGAGAGGTTATGTGAGAAAGTGTAGATGAAAGAATGACCTAGCTCGAAAAATGTTCACACACTGTATTCGTAATTGTTTATTAAATTTGCATCAAAGCTTCCTGAAGTAACTTCAAGCTTCCAGTGAATGCTGTTTAATCAACAAGATTAGTGGATTGATTTTACCGGATAGCATTTCAGCGAAAATTACCACTACTTTGTCCGTTTAGCGACACTTTTAGCCAAAAGATTTCGTTACTTTTACGTCAGTGTCGCTACTAGCGCATTATTTTCAGCCGAACAAAAATATTTGTTTAGTGGATAAGATATTAGTGAAGCTACTTTTTTTTCAGCAGCAGGCTCATCGCTACTTCTAACCATACTTTCGTGTGAATCATTAGTGTACCGATACATTCCCAGTTGACTTGCTTGAATTCTGTCAGTTAAGCTAGTTTCTGTCGGCTCTTTTCCACATACTGAATTCGACATTTTCCGGAGAAAGCGTCGTGCTCGAACTCTTAAAATCATTAATTTGCATGAAGGGGATTAAAATAGGTCCTTGAATCACTAGACCGGTTCCAAAACGGATCAGATCTGGAGTGTGGAGGATATGTAACTAACGGTAATGTGATATTTGGTGTACTCTTGAAAACAGTCTCATTTCAGAATTGTGTTAGCTGAGAAAGAGCGCCGAAGAGACCACTTATATAATCGGCATAAACGAAAAGTGATCACAGGTTCTGTTTATCGCTGGAGTTCGACCGAACCAATTTCGTATGAATTGAAGTCCGAAGATGGTATGACTAAGATAACAATCATCGTGATCAGTATTTGTCACAGTCATATTTTATTGCCAATACTGTTCAACTTAGAGTAGGTGAACGAAAATAGCTAGATTTGTGAAAATACATTTATTATACGAAAATGTCTTCTATTATGACGTATTTCTCACTCACGTGGTGGCAGACAACTGCATTTAATTCAACGATTTGCACAATTCCGAAGAGCTCCTTATCTTCCAGTATCAATTCTTTCAGTCAATTAAAAGTAAACCTCTTCGGTCAGCAAACTTATGTTGAATTGATTTTCCATCCATATTTTATTAAGGTATCATTCATTTTCTTTATTCCAAGGCTTATTTCGTTTCATGCATTAACATTATATAATAATTCATGTGGAATCAATTTAAGACAACTGGAAGAACATCATCAGATCAGCTATCGATTATTGGCAATCAGAAACATGCGTTAGATGGAGCGAGAATGGAAATAATGTTGACAGAATTATATTCTTCAAGGGAAGCGGGTAATGTTTCTCACACTCTTATCAACATGTTCCATTTTATTCAGATATATTCTCTTTCAGAAACAAATCTGAATGATCTATTGGAATCGCTGACGACAATGTTGTAAAGCTTTCCTTCTGACTCCATCAACCTAAACTTTTCACTTGCGATATCAATCGAACATTGAATACATTTCTGTGTCTTTCAATATTCAGCTCTTTAACAATGAGGACTTTTTTCACTTACGAAGAGGCTAGAACGATGGGAATTTGTGATGATGGGAGTGACAGTAATCCACTTTCGTCATATATTGAACATGTGATTAGTGCAATAAACTCTGTATCTGATTATCGGTTTATGACATTTCTCGTTTGAGGTGCTATTCGAGTGTTGGTCGTACTGGTGGACGACAAGAAATATCAATTGGATATGGCTGTGAAGATGTGAGTTGCATTACACTTTATTCCAAATATTTATTCAGATTTTACTGAAAGATTATTGTAGTGCAGCGGTCCCCATAGGGAGAAATTATTTATTTTTGGGTAATTTGGGGGTTTCGGGGGTAAGAAATCAGTTCTGACGTTATGCGTGGAAATAGTAAATTATTGTAGCGAGAGGGGAAGGGAGTAATGACGGCCTGCCAGACCACCGATGTGGGTAATGGAGTTACCGAGCATGGGGACCACTTCAGCAGTAGTTCTCACGCTTTGAAGCTCCATTCACACGTTTGGCCGTGTGGCAGATCGCTGTTACCGTCCCCTCCTCCTCTTCCACCCCCTCCCTCCCCTACCGTGATGCAGTTTTCCTTTCATCTGACATCTTAGTACCTCTTGATGCCAAATTAGAAGAAAACCAAAAAGTCGATGCAGTGATCAAGATGTTTGCTGCCAAGAATTCATCCGTTATATTCAAGAATGAAAACATTATTGGACAGCAATGAAAGAACTATGGAAACAAAATCAGTGATTTGGTAACCTTCTCAATTGCTCAGTGTTACTATCAAACTCCCTCCAAGAGAACCACTGCACTTTACTATTATAGTGAACGCGATCGAACAATTTAATTTCACTGAGACCTTATCATCTGCGCTAATGAATATTTCCATATGCTTCTGTATTTTACATCTTACCATCATACATTTGAGCATCACCGTCAATTCTCTCTTCAAATGGTTCAACGGCTAGCTTGTAATTACTGGATACCTGCAATTTCTGTCGTATCCGTAGACACTGTCGCTTTATTGCAAAAATAACGATTAAATGACAGAGAAGATTTGTCATTACTAATAAAGACATTAGCAACAAATTATTTTAATTTGCCGATGTGACAAACCATACACATACCTAGTGAATTCGTCGATATTAACTATGATATGCACATGCAATTCAGAAAGGCATAGTTTCTCATGAAATCGGACACTCTCTGGGTTTTTGGCACGAGCAATCACGACCCGATCGCGATAATTACATAAAACTCAAGCGAGCGTACATCGCGAAGGGGACTGAAGGAAATTTTGTAAAGCGTTCAACACAGGAAAGTGATGATATGGGTCTCCCATATGATCTCGGTTCAGTAATGCATTATGGGCCGAATGTGAGTTGTTTATCATTTTTAAATATCGATTTTTTGAAAAGCAATTTGTCTGAAAAGGAATGCGAAGGGAAAATTTCGAATGATTGAACTCTGAAGTTCAATTTGAGAGATGAAAAAAGGAAGTGAATTCATGAATTGTGGATGATATATGAATAATTTTCGATCATTCACTAGCACATCTCACTTAATGGTACTTATGAGTCGTTTATATGTGACTTCTTAAAGGCATTCACAATTGACTGGGATCATACAACAATTGAAACAATTGACCCCAAATACAAACGCACGATTGGGCAACGGAATGGACCTTCATTCATTGATGTGAAACAAGTGAATCGGTTGTATTGCAATGGTCTGACTGCTGTTCATTTATTCGTTCCCTTTATATTTTCTTCCACAAATAAATATCTGATGGAAACAGCGATTCAAAATTGTAGATCGTTGTGCTGGCTCAACGTTATCTTGTGAAAATGGCGGCTATGCGGATCCCAACAATTGCTTCTTATGCAAGTGTCCACCAGGTCTTGGCGGAGTCACCTGCAATCAAGTACAGCCGAGTAAGTAATACAGAAT